AGGGCGCCCGGGTGGCTCTCTTGGCTTGCGCCTTTGGCTCCGCCAGTCCAAATGCACCTGCAACTGCTCGTCTAACTAATCCTGCTGACCTGACCAAATTCAGGAAAGGGAAAGAGCAATTGCTAGAAAAGCAAGTGGCCCAGCTGGCAGCTGCGTATATTAATGTGGTGGTGGTTTGGGGGGAAATTGATGAGAAGACCCTAACACACGCTGACAAGTACGGCATCATGGTGATCCAGGTGAACTCCCGGCGGGAGATGGTTTACCTGAGTGCCGTTTTGGGCACACCTCTGATGCCTTATCTGCTTCCTCCTCTGGAGCCAGGGAAGTGTCAGAGGGTGTACGGGCAGGAGCTGGTACAAGGTTTGGCTGTTGTGTTTGAGTGGGAATGTCCAGGCACCCCTGCCCTCACCTTGGTCCTCAGGGGGGCCACCACTGAGGGGCTGCGGGGTGCTGAGCAGGCTGCCTACCATGGCATTGATGCTTACTTCCAGTTGTGTCAGGACCCCAGACTGCTTCCGGGAGCTGGGGCCACGGAGATGGCTCTGGCAAAAATGCTGAGAGAGAGAGGAACCAAATTGGGAGGACCCAGTGGTCCCACCTTCCTGGCATTTGCCCAGGCACTGCAGTCTCTCCCCGAAACCTTGGCAGAGAATGCAGGCTTAGGCGTCTCAGAGGTGATGGCAGAAATGAACGGAGCTCACCAAGCTGGGAACTTCCTAACAGGAGTGGGAGTCGAAGGGATAATAAATGTGGCCCAGGAAGAGGTGTGGGACATCCTAATAGCCAAGGCCCAAGGACTTCAAACCGTGGCTGATGTGGTACTACAGCTCCTGACTGTCGATGAAATTGTAGTAGCCAAGAAAAGTCCCTCGCATCAGCAGGGCTTGAATCCTAATCCTAAGAAGGCAAAGGAACAAGCATCTCCCGTGGGGAAGAAAAGTCCTTGGGGCCAGTAAGTGGCACATCCTCAATAAAATGGGACTGCCCAGGAGGGCGCCACTACCTCGAAAATGAACGTTTGCCTTCTGTTCCATGTTTGCTGCTCTTTGGGTCAGTTTCTTTAGATAAAAGCAACATAAAGGACCTTAAAATTTTTACTTGTCTTTTTCATTGATTTTACTTCCTTTCAGATTTTTGCCCTTTTTTCCATTTCTTGTTTCTCTCCATCAGATTCTGTTCCTTTCCTCCAGGAAGAGCTGGATTCAGTTCTATTAAAGATTTTTAAATTGAGTACCTGGATTTTAGGGATGTAAAAAATGTGCAGGTATCTCTTCCCAACCCTTTGAGGGTTCCTGTGTGAATTCTAACATATGTGAATTTCTGTCTAGATGTCTCTTTAACAATCTGAGAACATCCATTCCAGCTTGATGGAGTGGCTGCTTATTCCTGCTGTGATTATTTGCAAAAAGAAGGGAAATATTATTTTAAGACAAAATAAATATATAAAAAGGAGGAGCATGGGCTGGTAGGCAGAAATAATTTTTTTAAAGCATCCCTGGCAGGGATAACAAAAGATAAGAACACACACCTTAGAACAGCACTGCAGTTCTTGCGTAGGGGAGGAGCACTGGGAGCACCTGGCACCAGGGCGTCCTGGCCAGGCTGTGATTATCAGCGGATTTTAAAGAGGGAGTTTGAGCAGAGCTGGGACAAGCGTGTTACCCTAAGCCTTTCCCACATAATCATCCATGTTACCCTGCCTCTGGGAAAAGAGCAGAATATAGAAGCAGAATTGAGGTGATGGGAAGCTGCAGCCTCTAAGAATCAAAACAAAAAAGCCTGAAGCATTGGAGAGAGATCCAGACTCAAGAAACAACTGTCTTATAGCAGCCAGACTAGCTGCAACAGAGCAAAACAAGTTTGCAAAGACTCTTTTGAAACTCAGAAGTGAAATCCTACAAGCTGTTAATGAACGAAGTATGGCAGATGAAAATGTATGGGGGAGGGTGTAGCTCAGTGTGCTTAGCCTGCATGAGGTCCTGGCTCCAGTCCCCAGTACCTCCATTAAATAAATAAACCTAATTACCTCCTCCAAAAACAACAAAAAAGAAATTGTACAGAAGTATACTCATTATTACTAATTTCAGATATAGAAACCATCCTTGATGTGTCTTTCCCTGTTTTGTCTTCATCGTTGTATTTTAGTGACTATAACTAAGAGCTTTCATATTTCTCTCCTGCCCTCAGGTGTCCATATTGTTCTCAGAGAGCTTCAAATTCCACAGTCAGAGTGATGATGCTAGATGGTTAACTTTCTGATTTTTTTTTTTTTAGGGGGGAAGGTAATTAGGTTCACTTACCTTTTAATGGCAGTACTGAACCCAGGACCTAGTGCATGCTGGGCATGCACTCTACCACTGAGCTGGACCCTCCTCACCACTGATAGGTAAGTCTTGTTTTTTTTTTCCCCTATGGTTAACTTTTTAAAGCAGTTCAAAAGCACTTTATATAAATTTTATTTAATCATTAAAAAACTTATGAGAAGGAAGCTTGTTATCTCTCAGGGGCAGGAGACCCAAGTGAGCTTCAAATTAATTGGTTGACGTTACATAGTGAAAAAAGAGGAAAGCCTATTCTCTTATTCATTATTTTATTGCCCCAATCAAATTCCTCTGCTGTGATGTATAAGCCCTGTGATTACGAGGAATGTATGTCTCCAAACGCCAAGAGCACAGAAACAAGATCGGGAGAAAACAGGGAAGGAACACAAGAACTGCTGAGTCCTGGGGAGTGAAGAAGAAGGTGCCTGACTTGGGTCGGGGATGCTGGGGCTGAGTCAGGAGACCCTTCCCGTCCATTGGGGCACCTGTGAGCACAGACACAAGATCGGGACCTACACAAATTCTGGAGTCCTGAAGGGAAAAAAAAGGCATTGCTTCCGAACTGGGAAAAGACAGAAATGAAAAAGCTGCCAATAGCTTGTTCCAGTCCTCTGTCTCCATGGCCCTCTTCCCAAGAGGTCTTTCTGAACCGATACCCTGACAACAGAAGCTTTCTAGGCCTAGAAGTCCGAGGGCCCTTTCGTGCAGAGGCCAAGGAGTAGAGAAAGCTAAGATTTAAGAGAAAAAACAGAAAACTCCCAAACTGGGACTTCTCAATGGGAGGAAAAAAGAATATTGTGGCTCAGGGACCCAACAATTTTTTGTGAAGGAACAAAACTAGTTTTAAGAAGACTTGCTCATACCTTGTCAGCAGGACTGACGTAAATCCACAAGTTTGTAGCACCACCCCACCTTCCACCCCTCATTTCTTCCTGATCCTTTCTGGAATAGTGACCAACTCTTAATGATGCTTCACCACAATGCGAGGGGTGTGATGTTCAGGATTTACGGATGGACTACTTCCCACTGAGTTATTGAAAATTTCCCCTTGTGCTCTGTTACCTTGTTAAGGTAACCACCCCAGGGAAAATTGTCCCCCAAGTGCTAAAATGCTAAAATGCTAAACCGCTAAAACCTGCCCTAGACACAGAGAGCTCAGAATCTCTGTGATTCCAAAAGTAGCCAGCTCTTCTCCCAAAATATCAACCCACTCACCCCCACCACTCTGCTAAAGATCCCCTCCCTAACTGGTGAAAGAGATGCTGGTGGGATCTGAGAGGGGCTCAGGAGTGAGATGAGGGAAAAGGCAGCAGAATCCCTAGGAAAGTTCAGGGGTCTGAACACAGAGGAGATTCTCTACTTCCAGTCAGAAACCTGGAGCTCCTGAGCTCCTGTGCCAACAGAGTCGAGCAGAAATGACCGTGGGGGACAGGCAGGGAAGAAGGGACCTCACCTGAGAGAGCAGGCAGGGCTCCCTGTGCCCCCAGAAGGAGATCACGAATTGACTTGTATGCGGGGAGGGGATAGCTCAGCCTTAGGGTGCATGCTTAGCCTGCACAAGGTCCTGGGTTCAATCCCCAGTACCTTGATATAAGTAAATAAATAAAAACCTAATTACCTCCCTCCAAAAAAAATTAAATTAAAAAAATTTTCTTAAAGAATTGACTTGGTTGAAGTCTGGACTGATCAAGAGAGAAACACGAAGGGATTAAATTTACCTGGAATTAACTAAATTAAATATCCTACCATCAAATAGAAAGGGAGCTGGAAAAAGAAATACTAACATCATTTAATTATAGAAACACATAGTTCCAACACTCTGAGTTCAGGGCTTGAAAATTCACTTTCTACAAATGTAAAGACTGAATGAGGAATTCAGACACTGTCCTGCACATACCACTAATGGAGCCGGCCACTGGTTACCTACCACAGGGCTCAGTGAGAGAGATGCTGGTTAGAGAAACAGTGGTAATATTTTTATAATGCAGCATGTATTTGGGATGCAATTTTATTCATTAGACAGGTGAAAAACAAAATCATGGCTCTCTGTAAGTCTCAGTAAAGTCACTGAATGTATTAGAAAAGAAAGGTGGATCTCAGTGAGCTTAGGGAAGATAAGCCTCTCTGAACTTCACTGAATGCACAACAGAAGCATTTTCATATCAAAGTCATTATTAATTTTCAAAAGCATTTTAACCCCTGTGTATTCTGCCTCCTTGCCCACTGACTCCAGAACCTAGCACTGCAGAGCCCCCACTGTGACGGCTTACCTGAGTTTACCCTCCTGGGAGTATCCCCACTCCCGACCTGGCCCCAGAAGAGATGACATCCACCAGCCGGTCTCGGTCTTCCCTGGGTAGATGCCCAAGGCCACATGCCTCACATTTCATGCCTACATTCACTTTGATCAAAAACCTTCTATTTCAATGTTACTAATGTAACTTGTTTACAAAAGGTGTCATAATCCATTGCAGTATTGTTTCACGTGAAAAATCATTTCCAAAACTACCTGTGGTGTTTCCTACATCAGATTTTTAATTGGAGAAAAATCTACACCTGCCTTAATTCCCCCAAAACTAAGTAAAAAACACATCAAAATATACCCAGATATTACTGAAATTGTCTTTTTTTTTAAATTGAGGTATAATGGACATAGAACATTGTATTAGTTTTAGGTGTACAACATAATTTGATACATGTATATATTGTGAAATGTTCACAATAAGTTTAGTTAACATGTATCATCACATATAGTTACAATTTTTTTTCTTGTGATGAAAACTTTTAAGATCTACTCTCCTAGTGAACTCAAATGTACAATACGGTATTGTTAGCAGAGTCACCATGCTCTACACTACATCCCAGGACTTAGGTATAACAGGAAACTTATACCTTTTGACCCCCTTAACTGATTTGGCCCACCCTCCACAAATGCCCCCAATGTCTCCACCTCTGGTAACCACTGATCTGTTCTCTGGATGCTTGAGTTTGTTTCTGTTTTATTGTTGGTGCTGTCGTTCCATACATAAGTGGATCACATGGTATTTGTCTTTGTCTTATTTCACTCAGCATACTGCCATCAAGATCCAACCACGTTGTTGCAAATGGCAGGATTTCCTTCTATTTTATGGCTGAATAATATTCCACTGTGTATACATACTAACTTTTCCTTATCCATTCACCCACTGAAGGACACCCATTGAAGTCTGCTTCCATGTCTTGGCTACTGTAAATAATGCTACACTGAACCTGGAAGTGCAGACATGTTTTTGAGATACTGATTTAGTATTCTTCTGATAAACCTGGAAGTAGAATGCCTGGATCATATGGTAGTTCTATTTTTAATTTTTTTCAAATTTTTTTCTTTTTTTTTAATGAGGGGGAGGTAACTGGGTTTATTTATTTATATTTGGAGGAGGTACAGGGGATTGAACCCAGGACCTCGTGCACACTAAGCGTGCACTCTACTGCTTGAGCTATACCCTCCCCCCACCCCATTTTTAATTTTTTGAGGAAACTCCATACTGTTTTCCATAGTGGTTTCACCAGTTCCACCAACAGTGCACAAGGTTTCCTTTCCTCCACATCCTCACCAACATTTATTGTTGTCTTTTTGATAATAGCCATTCTGGCAGGTGTGAGCTGATAGCTCACTTGGTTTTGATCTACCTTTCTCTCATGATTAGTGATGCTGAGCGCCTTTTCACGAACCTGTTGGTCTTTGTATGCCTTTGAAAAAATGTCTGTTTAGATCCTCTGCCACTTTAAAATTGGATTGTTTGGAGTTTTTTTTTGCTATTGAGTTGTATGCGTTCTTCACTGGAATTTAAAATCTTTATTCAGCTGTTCAGCATCACACCACACAGGTCCAGTCCATAGAGACGGATGTGCTAATACCACAGTTGGAAGGTA